CCCCAAAACCCCAAAACCCCAAAACCCCTTGCTGAAGAGAATTAATTGAAATTATTAATTATAACAATATGAGCGAAATTTCGTTAGAGACACATAAATTCGGTAAGATATGGAGATAATCAGCTAGGGATCAAGGAAGAGCAAGAAGAATGGGTAACTGAGATACAGGAGTTTAGCGACAAGATGCATTCACAGTCTATGTATTCCATTGATGGTACCCTTTTTCGATTATGTATTAGATTTTATAAATATGAAGATAAAAAGAGCTTTGGATGGCTTCACACCTAGCAAAAATACTATTCAAATGTTGAAACCATCTTTTATATCAAGAGAGGAGCACAAGGTCTTTCAGAAGCAATCTGAAATCATTCGAGTAAGAATGGATACAGTAGAATCATCTCAAAATCATGTCCTTGAAGATCTAACTGACATGAAGAAAGCGATTACAAACAAAGCTGATCATGAAGAAGTTGAGAACCAGCTTAAACAAATTGCAGATTATATTAAAAAGGTAGACAAATCACTATCATCCTACACTCTTAATAAAGACCACGATATCACACAAAGGATGCTTCAAAGGCTCGAAGAATCATTAGATAAGCTATCAAAGAAGACTTATTCTGATGATGAAGTTGATGCCAAGTTTAAATCCATTTATAAATAAAATGAAACAGACTTACACAACACTAGATTCTTTCGAAGCTCAAAATGATCGACTGTTGCTCAAAATAAATATGCTACAGAGGTAAGCACAAAAACAGTTACATTAAGGCAACTTTTTAAATTTTCTTATAGAGAGATTATTAAGAACACTAAAGGCCTGGGAGTAGTCGATGAAACTTTTAAAACCTTGAGAGAAGAGTTTTCAAATAAGATAAAGAAATAAATGTGAAATTGATGACCTCATAAAACTTAGAGCTATAGTTGTACCTACTATTGATGATTTCAAAGCCAAGATAAAGGCTTTTACTAAAGATAACAATGACTGCAAAGATATTGTACAAAGATTTGATGAGGTAATAACTCTCAAAGCATCCAAGATATCCTTACATAAAGTAGAAGAGTCACTCCAAAGAAAGGTCCAAGAAGATAGTTACCAGGTTAGTCAAACTGTAATTTGATAGGAGGACCAACAAATCATCTTTGAAGATTTCTCTAAACTCCAGGCTCAAATGCAGAACTTGGGAAACAAGATAGATGATTTCAACACTCATGTCCAAAATAAGGTCCAAGAATATGGAAGAAAAGAGGTCAATAAAATAAGAGCCGAAATCAATCAGAACAAACTTGGAGGTGGCAAAATAGACTTGTAAATCCTAAAAATCATTAATATAGGGATGATATCAAAAGTATGGTGGAGGACAAGATAAATAAGGAAGAGTTAATGACTTTGCTAAACTTTAAAGCAAACAAAGAGGATTCTAAAAATAATCAAAAAGCATTAGAAATGCTTCATAAACAATCAAAGCACTTGGTTGTATTAATAATAGAGCTTATAAAGCAAGCTTCGACTAAATTCACTAATTCTGAAGAAACTAGGAATGCTAAAGAGTCTAAATTGTCTTCGATATTAAAAGTTGCACTAAATATCGCAAAATGGATGAACAGTTTTGATTTATACACTCCTGATGGACCTGAAGCTTTTGAATGTCCTCCAGAATTATCAAACTTTGACCTTTCTGTCAAGAAAAGTTTCACAAGCTTAAAGTCCTCAAGACTGAAACTACCAGTTTTCCCAAAAATAAGAAACCTAACGCTGGAATCTTTGTCAGTTCCAAGAAAAGAGGCTTCTGCTTCACCTGCTTTTGCTAATCCTGGCTCTCATACTTCTCTCAAACTATCAAACTCAAAATTAACCCGCAACTACAGAGCAAATCTGTCAATAGGTACCTATCTCATAACCCTATAGAGCCCGATCTCAACGGAATGATCATGGAATTCAAAACCCAGCCTTCTAAATCCCGTAGGGCCAACATGAAGGTATGTGACTACTATACTTAGCCCTTAACAGCAGAAAGCCTAGCCCATTTACAAGTTGAAATGTAATTATTAAATATGGACTTTATTTTGGGGTTTTGGGGTTTTGGGGTTTTGGGG